ATCTCCCCCACCCCAAGGGGGCAGCAGGTCAGGGGAAAACAGGGTGGTCATAGTATCTGTGAGCCAGTAAAAATTCCTGAGAGGGGGGGTCACTTCCTAAGGGGGGCCCTTAGAAAGGTGGGTTGTTTGATTGGCCGTGTTGTCCATCAGCCGTCAGAAACCCTGAACGATAGATTCCTGTATTGGGGGTGGACCTGGAGTCATGTGGCCACTGTGTGTATGCCTTTGGCACCTCCTCATGAGTATAGGAACCAGGGGAACAATGAGTCCAAAGATGCTTCCTCAGGTGGAGCTTACTGCAGTCACACCTCAGGCTTCACCACCATCGAACATATCGTAATTCTCCATAGAAGTAGGATTTTTGTCTGTTTGTCTTCTTGTTGTATACCTAGCACTGAGAACAGTGCCTGTGCATCATAATAGAATGATTCATTTTTATTGCTGAATGAATGAGTGGCAGGAAGCAAAGTGGGTCTTTTACTTTGGACCACATGAAGCTGTTGTTTTTACAAGTCCAAAGCAGTCAAATATCATCCAATTTATGTCACTAAATGTATTATTTGACCATAAAAAGAAGCAAAATTTTGATTTTTGGATGAATTTTGAAAACATTACACTAAGTGTAAGAAACCAGACACAAAAGACCACATAGTATATGACTCCATTGATATGAAATGTCCAGATTAAGCAAATACAGAGAGACAGAAAGTAGACTGGTGGTTGCCTGGGGCTGGACACCTGTTTCCCTCCCATAGAAATTCCCTGGGGCTATCAATTCTACCACATAAATTGCTCTTAGGTTGTTTTCCGTATTTCCATGTCTACTGCCAGTGACCTCTCTTCCTCCCTCTCTTTCTCACCTAGATATCTGTCATCATATCCTCATCCTTATCCTAGTAAAATCTCCTCCATGGTTTTCTGTTTCTTCCAGGGTGAAGTCAAAACTCTTTACCTAGGCCTCCCAGGGATCCAGCTGCCACCCACCCCTGTCTATCTCCCCAGCTCCATCTTTCCTCTATCCCTTCCCTTTCACCCTTTCCAGGAGCAACCTAATGGGTTCTTTTTTTTTGCCTCTATAGCTCTTACTTTGTTTGGAAACCGTTTTTGCTTTCAACCTGTTTGCTCCCTAACTTAGTCATCAAGTCTTAATTAAAAAGACACTTCCTCCAGGAAGCCTTCCGTCACTCCCCAGATCCGAATTAGGCCTCTCCAATATAAACTCTCATAACTCCCTACACTTCCCGTAACATATCCCTTCTCACATTATATTTTGCTGTTTACTTAATTGTTCTTTTCTCTCAATAGACTGTGTGCTAAATAGGGGCAGAAAACAAGTCTGTTAGTTCATGAAGATTTCATTAATATCCAGTAAAAATCAGATCTACTCAAAAACTGGTTAGCATTCAATCAGTAAATAGGTGGATTTTTGCTTTGGCTTTGGCAGACGCTTATTCCAGTCTTTTGCGCCAGGTAAGATAAGTAGTTCTTCGTTGTCAGAGGAGCAGGGAGAGGGGAGCAGTGCTGCAGCAGGCAATTTCCCCCCACCACCGAGAACAGACAGCAGTCTGACTTGTGGAGGGCTCCGTAGGTGGCTGCTGAGCTGGGCCTTTCCTGGGGTACTTTTCACCTCATTGCCTTTTCAGTATTCACAATCAACTTCCCCATTGCTCATGAGTTTTTCCAAGACTCACAGGAGTCTACCCTAAAGAATAAAGGAAATTCTCTGTGTGTTTCTAAATGTTACCTTCAAAATATTTTCAGAGTTCCTGAGTGAAAGGTCCCAGGACTGAAACTTTGGATTGTGACAAGCACCCTTTGGGGATGCTGCTGGGCTGAGACTCAGGCCTGCTGTTCCTCTCCCCAGTATGGACAGGAGAACACTGGTGTTTGAGTTAGGCAGGAAGTAAGCAGAGTAGGCTCCAAAATCTCTCAGGGACTGATTCAGGGTTAGAGAAATCCACTATTCCCCTGGGGAGGAATGGAAGCTGGAGGCAGTGGGACAAACTGAGTTGGTGTGATGGACTGGAGTCCGAATTAGCAAATATTTTCTCCCTCCTGCCTTGGGGCTGTGTATAAGTCCTGCCTCACTGACTTTGGGCCTGGTTGTGTGATGTGTGTTGGCCACTGAAATGTGAGCAGGCATGGTTGCAGCGAGATTTTACTTTATTTTTGAAATTGAAGTAACACTACATTATAACATTCTACGTGTAAGGTGTACATCATTTAAACTCAGTCTCTGTAAATGCATTATGAAGTTCGCCACCAAATGTCCAATTCTATCCTGTACCGTACAACTGACCCCTTTAACTCAATTTACCCCTTCCCTTCTGGTAGCCACTAATTATCATCTAAAAGTTTTTTTTTTTGTTTGTTTTAGTATTTAGTTTACCCATTTGCTTTCTCTATATACCACATAAACTGAAATAGTTTCTTTTTTTCTGTATGACATTTCACTAAGCATAAAACTCTCTAGGTCCATCATGTTTTTGGAAATAGCAGAATTTCATCTTTTTTATATCTGAGTAGTATTCCATTGTGTGTACATCATAACTTCTTTTTTTATTGTATGTTTTTAAATTGAGGTAATGTTGCTTTATAACACTGCATATGATTCTGAACTCTAGTTCACACCTCTTTAGATGTATGCCGCCACTCCACCCCCACCACCAGACCCCCATAATCTTCCACCATATACACCATAACTTGTATATTCAATCAACTGCTGATGGGCACTTAGCTTGTTTCCAGCTCTGACTGCTGTAAATAATGCCACGATGAATCTGGGGCTTGAGCAGAAGTTTTGAATATGCTTACGTGGTTCTTCCCTCTTATGTTCCTTTCATTTACAATGAGAAGAACATACCTCAGATCATCACTGCTCTTTTTTAGCACAGTCCCCTAAATGTAAGTTTTGAACATGTTTAATTTGAGATTGGTTTTAGATGTCTAAGCGAAAATGTGCATGATTTGGGATTCTAAGGGTGGTTTAAGCTGGAAATGCAAGTTGCAATCATTTGCAGATACAGGAATTTTAAACTTTGAGATAGGTGAGTATGGATGGGAAAGGGCCCTTTGAGTGAGCCTTAGCCTCCTCCAATATTTAGAGGTTAGAAGGAATCAACAAGGAAACAGATGGAACAGGTAGAAAGGCAGGCAGACAAACAGTGCACTGATGGCTCCTGGGAGCCAAGCAGAGCAAGGGCTTGGGGCTGGAAAAAGTAATTGTGTCCAAAACTGCTGATAGTAAGATGACATGCAGAATTGACCGATGGGTTTAGACACAGAGACATCAGTGTCCCTGATAAGAATACATTCTGTGTGGGCCTCCTCGGTGGCGCAGTGGGTTGAACGCTGCCTGTGAAGCTGTCTGCAGCCTCTGCAGTGCGGGTTCATTCCTGGCTGGCGAGAATCCCACATGGCATGGCAGACCTCTCCTGTCATGCCTGCTGCTCCCCTCAGCAGTGTATTTCTGTTGTCTGCCTGTTCTGCTCCCTGCTCTGCCTCTGGTGAATCCTCTCACCCTCCCATGCTTCTGGCCTGCAACCCTGCTCTTGTATAAAAATAAATAAATCTTAAAAAAAAACATTCTATGTAATCACAGGAGCAAAAACATCATAGGAGAGACATTTGTAAATATAGACAATTTTCAAAACTTTACTCATAAATGAAGGAAAGACATGGGACTGTAGTTAAGGAGGAAAGTGATATCAAGAGAATTTTTAAGCAAGGGGATAAAAAATAATTTGAGTGCTGGTGGGATCGATTCAAGAGAGAGAGGAAACTGATGATGTGTTAAAAATGAAGGAATGGTGACAGTTGGTTTGTCCATTATGACTGGGAGAAGATTGAGTGTGCAGGCTTTATACACAGGGCGATAGGCAAGAGCATGGGGGACTCGTAGACATTATATTGCAGTTGCATCAATTTTCTCAATGAAACAGGAAGCTAGGTCACTAACAGACTGAACATGTGGTGAGACAAAGAGGAAAATATGGCACAGTGAGCCGGAAGAGCCCAAGAATGAATGGATCAAGGCTGTATAGCTTGTGTGCTGGCTGCCAGTGACTGTTGTGAGCACTTTGTACCTACCAGCAAGTAACACCTGACGAGAGTGTTATGAAGTAATCCTATGAAGTTGCCCCAGTTATAGATGAGGACTTTGAAGCACAAAGTGGTTAAGAAACGTGTCCAAACTCATACAGCAAGAAAGTGGTAGAGTCAGGATTTACACAGAGACAGTTTGCCTTTCAGGGACCAAATACTGACCCAGTAAAACATATGCTAGCCTGACATGCAACTCGGTTAAACAGGATAAGGATTGAATTAATGTGTTGTGGAAATACAGCATGTCAAGTGCATGATTAGATTCTTCACAAACTCATGCAGTCATGGTTATTATCAACCCATTTGAAGAGGTCCTAGTGCCCCATAGAGATTCAGCTGCTGGTTAAAAGCTGCAGAGCTAGGAAGTGAGAAGACTGATCCTTGAATTATGTTGTTATGATTCCAAAAGCCCCACACCTGGAACACAATGCCAAAAAACCATTATACCACAATGCCAAAAAAACATTATACCAGGTTTACCTACCCAGCTAAACCTAACTTATTAGTTAAATGTATCAGAACTTTTCCTACATCAGCCTGAGGTCACTTGGAAACTTTATCCAGAGCAAATGGAGAATTGCTGTGTGGTCCTTACAGCAAGGAGAAATTAAAAGCACGTAGCTTTGGGGGAATGTTGATTGTCTTACCATTTTCAGATGCTTCATCTATTTGGTGAGGAAGGCTTAAAGGTTTTGGTAGGAGTCTTGAAGTTTTTTTTTTTTTTTAATCAAAGCTAAAGTGTTATATTACAGAAGAACCCCTACTTATACAAGCACCTCCAAAAAACATTTACCCAAGAAAGAGTGCTCATAATGCATCATCTACACTGAACTGCCACCCACTTCCTGAAACTCAAGGAAGCAGACAGTTTAAAGAAAAAAAAAGCCAAAGGCAGCAGTTGTTTATTACAACCTCACCTCAGTGAGGCCTGAGATTCTTTCGAACAGGAGTTTTGCTTTCCATGACACAGAGCGAAGTCTTTCTGGGATATTTTTGGTAAAACTGAAAGCAAGAAAAGTGGGGTGCACATTCACAAGGCACCGGACTAAGTGGGGCGTGGATAGAGTGTTGGGGGGAGAGTTTAGGGTGCCATCCCCAAATGATATTTGGATGGACCTTTCATCTGAGAGAAAGGAGACACGTTGGCAAATCAACCTCAAACCCAAGATTGGCCGTGAAGCAATCATAAAGGGGGAAATACACACACAGAAGCAAGAGGGAAAGGTCGAAAAGGCCAGAAGGGCACCGATTGTGACAGACTCACCATTTCAGCAGCTACTCACCCGAACCAGAAGAAAAATGTCCCTGAGGTTGCCAAGAAACTGGGATTTCAACCTGAAGATGGAGGCTGGGAAAATAGGTAAGGTCAATTTCTTTTTCTTTTGCCTGAGTGTTTCTTACACTTGAGTGCCCCCCATTTGCATGTTGACCTGCAGGGAGCATGGTCTACTTAAAAATGGGTTTCTCAGCAAATCTGAGGTTGGGGAAAATTTTGTATTCAAATTAATATATTGGTAAAATGTCCCCCAATCCTGGGAGGGGGTTCTCTTTCATATGGAGGTCAGAGCAGAATGGAGTTCCCCGGTATGTGGGATCTGGGGTACTTCAGATGGGCAAAGGCTACCAATCACACACAAAATTGTGAGTTTTTCTCTCTTTATCATGGAAGGATTGTTTCTCTGCTGTTTGAAAACTCATGTGTATTTTGAGTGGGTTTTGATAAGAGCACAGAGTTGAGTCTTTTAAAATGTTTAAATTGTGAGTAACTCAAGGCATTTTGTTTTGTGTGCACATGGGGCCCCCAGGCCCCGGGCCCCAGTCTCTGTGGACTCAGGGGACTCAGGTGGGGGACAAAGAGTAGACAATGAGGACAAAAGAGGAATATGGAGACATTTAAAGGTATAATGTCAGTTTTAGCTAAAGGGACAAAATGAAGGGAATTCTTAGATGGGGGATTGAAAATGAGAGATGCATTTTAGCTTATCTTCCAGACATTGGCATGTTTTCTGAAACAGTCTGACCTTTAATCCCTATCTCCTCATCTCCTCTCTTTAAAGATGGTATTGGTACACTGGTTGCAATCTGTTATGTAATTGTCATCATGCATTTCTTTTTTATGGGTTTCTTCTATTATTAAATTGATCACAGTAATTTAAGGCAATTGTGCTGAAAGAGATTCCCCATGTTTTATACATCTATACATATAGTGAGATTGTGTTCTTGATGGTGGACATAGATAAGTGCTCAGGTGTTTCTAATGGCTTGGAAAAGTTTTGCTTGAAACAAGGTTTAAACTGGGTTTCTAATGGTGTTTAATGTGCTACTAAAATAAGTGGTTCATTACAAATAATGGAGTGGTAATGATGTAGGTCTGAGAAAATATTTGAAAGAAAACCGAGAAGAATCAGAGAAGCCATTTGTCTTGGTAACCAGAGAGGATTAGTTAGTAGTCCCTAAGCAAGCCAAGAATCCTTGCATGTTGAGGTAGTTTCAGAGGACAGGGAGTGTGCATACTTCCTATAAGCAAGAGATTTTTCTGAGATTTATACCAATGTGCTTGGCTAATGTTCATTCTATTATATGTCATGAAGACACAGGTTGGAAAGTGAAACTCCTATGGCCTGTTCCTTTGAAAGTGTTCTGCTTCTATTTTCATGGTTCATTCTACCCTCTCATCAGCTGTGTTTCAACAGATCCTGTTTAAAAGTTGGAAACTTGAGACACTTAATGATTAAATAATATTTCCAGAAATAAAGGAAATTGCCACATTAAAGCTCAAGTCTGCCTATACTTAGACTGGGGATTATACTGGGTGGATTTCAGGATTTCTTCAAATATTTCTTAAATCGTGATCTCATGGATACCTGTATCAGAGTTATCTCAGATGCTTGCCCAAAATGTAGATTCCTGGGTAGCATCCTAACTTGTGAAATCAGGTCTCTGAAGGGAGGCCCAAGAATCTGCCATTCCACGGCACCTGGCCCTCTATTCCACCTGCTGAGGAAGTCCCATTGTACAGACTGTGGACAAAGTTAGGAAGCCAGAGAGTTACCATTCATCTAGCACAGAGTATGGTGTTTGGTTTTAGTGGGCCACAATAAACATCTGTTGACAGAATAAATGATTGACTACAAGCAGGTGATATGGTGCAGTATTATTTAATGAAAAAATAATTACCTAATGAAATATTAATGAACCCTTGTCAGGCTTCCTGCCATTTACAAATTTGTCACTCTGAGATATTGAACTACAGCCAGAATACATTTCATGGATGTTATGTTGATGAAAATTAAGGTCACAAGCTGAGTCTTCTGCGGGGAAAGAGTTACTGACTCACCCTCAGGACCTCTGGCCCCTTCTCTGGCATCCTGTGCTTAGGTGAGATTGTGGGAACTGACTTAACATAGCCAAAAACTCACCTCTTTTGAGGCTGTGTGGAACTGAGAGTCACAACAGGGAAGTCAGTGACTTGTGGTACTCCAGCCTTGACTAATGAGGAGTAAATCAGGTTCTCAACCTATTGGTATTTTGTGCTAGATAATTCTTAGTGATGAGAGCTGTCCTGAGCCTTATCGACTATTGGCAGTATCCTTGGCCTCCACCAGCTAGACAATGGTAGTGCCCTGTACTATGATCAGTGTGACAACCAGAGATATCTCCAGACACTGCCAGGTGTGCCTGAGGGGAAGGGTAACATCTTCCCTGGTTGAGAACCACTGGAGTAGATAATCACCAATAGGGTATGATGATAAGGTCATTTGGGACTGAAACCTGAATATTACCTCACAGTTCACTGTTGAGGTGAATTTTTCAGAGGGTCTTATGAAGATGTAATTCTGGGGTAGAGTGGAGGGGACAGTAGCATAGGGAGGACACCAGGTTGAACACTTTCTTGGAAAATAGCAAGAAAGACACTGGAAAATAGCTCAGGAGGGGGTCCCATATCTTTTTGGTGAACCTTAAATCTTGGGAGCTCTCAGCTAGGGCTGGAGTGAAAGTGAAAGTCTTTGAGGTGCGGGGAGGAGCCCTCCCCTGTGCTTCCATCTCAGAGAGCTGGGGAGGGCTCAGTTGGATGGCAGTGACCAGAGACCACCCCATGTCAGGTCCGATTGTGGTGGGAGAACATCACCAGGCAGATCTTCATCTAACCTAGTTATTGATCCTGAAGGGGATCAGGGGTTAGAAGCAGACTTGACTTGAGGTGGGAGCCAAAAGCAGACCTTTCTTCCTTTGATCGTTTATCAATTTAGTCAAGCAGCCATGACAGCCTTCCATGATCTTCATGCACTGCTATTTGAATCTTTTCCTTCTTTGAGTCACTGTCTTTCTAACTGAGTTATATGCCCCAGAGTGTCATCTCCAAGGGTAATGTCCTATTTTGAATGCTGTGCCAGGCCTGGCACCCCCGATGCCTTGTATGTAGGACGGAGAGGGCCTTGACCACCCAGGGAAAGCCCTCTCTGCCCTGTGGTTTGAGAGTATTTAGTTGGAAGATTATTGGGTGAATTTCAGGACTTCCCATATTGTATCTAGTTGGAGACACATCTTCCTTTTTTCTCAAGTTCCCCCGAACCAAAATAGGGGGAACAGGCCTTAGAGAGCATATGACTTAGATACATAATGAAAGTGACTATGGAGGGGTAGTTATTTATAATTGTTCTTCCCTCTGAAATTTAATTCCAAAAAAATTTATACAGAAACAAAAATTAATTATTCTAGTCTCCCAACCTGTAAAGTGAATAACAACAACAGTGGAGGTTGTTTTTCCCACTAGATGTTTTTCCATTCAATAAATCATTGTCTGCTACAGAGTATAGTTCTTCCTTTAGAAAATCAGAGTAATGCATATATGTATTATTTTTCACAAATATTTCCAGATTTTTTTTTTTACAATAAACAAGTATTAACTGTGTTATGAAAAATACCCAAAACTAAAATTCCAAATGATACATGAAACAGTGGCCAGGCCTGTAGGCGAGGTTGTACAGGCAGTTGATGCTCTTTGGGCTCAGTGGCGAGCCACAAAGTCCTCACCTGATTGTAGATGTACCAACAAGTTCCCACAATGGTCATCTGTAGATTTTATGAACCTCTCATCCCAGGGTATAGGGCTCTTTGGGAAGAGCTACATGGTCCCACAGTGATCAGAACAACATGCACGAGCATATTTCTTCCCTGAACACTAATTGTTGGTTCCCTGGGCTGGGAATCTGGAGACCATGAAGTTGAGGTGAGTTGATCTTCTTGTTTGGAATTCAACTTTGGTGAACACTTTTCTACCATTCACTGCCAAGTTTACAATGGTGCTAGAGGCACCAGTCTGGTGCCTCTGGTCCCACTATCTTCTATTTGCTGTGGGGAAGCCTTGGTGCTGGGTCCTTGATGGATAAATTTCCATATGCCTGCAGGCGGAGGCAGAGACGGGCCTTCCTCAGACAGTGAATACTGACACCAGGAGGTGTCTTCCCAGGGCTCAGACCTGTCTTTATACCTTGTGAGAGAAAATCAGTCTCTATATTGTCATTGCCTTATATGTAGGCGTGCATGAGTGAGTACAAACCCATGTTTTTACCTTACTCATTCTGGACTTTGCACCAGATTGGGGGCCAAGGGCGTTTGGATTGGCAGAGATGGTGAACTCAGTGGCTCTCAGTGCATGAATCTCTGAAAACACATCTAGAGAAAGATGCCTCTGGTGTAGTCTACATAGGCAAAAATACCATCCTATTGGGGTGGGGCTGGGTCTCTGTCGCACTCATCATAGCTCATAACTGAGCACCCAGTGGGAGAACACTGTGGGGACTCTGCCTGTCCCCTTCAGAGATGAGCATGGTCTTTCAAATGAGGAAAATCCATTATGGGGGTGTTGGAAAGATCTTGGGACTGACTGAGAAGAATAAGCTGTGATGATGTGTCAGACACAAGATAGCTTGAGAGGAAAGAAGTGTAACCTCTTGTGAGGCAGCCCTATGGTTGCTGGCTGTACACACAAATAGGGAGAGTGTGAAGAATCGCAGCAAACCTCCGGCAGTGGCCACAGCGATTGAGACTAAATAGCACATGTGGAGAGCCAGGGGTACCATGGGGAGGGCCTTGCTGCAGCATAGGCCACCCAGAGGGATTTCGTCTGGGGATGGTGTGTCAATTTTTTTTTTAAAGATTTATTTATTTATTGATACAAGCACTGGGTACAGTCAGAAGCTTGGGAGGGTGAGAGAATTCACCAGAGCCAGAGCGGGGAACAGAACAGGCAGACTGATGAAGAAACACACTGCTGAGGGGAGCAGCAGGGGGCAGGAGAAGTCTGTGCGCCATGTGGGACCCTCGCCCAGAGGCCGGGGATAGAACCAGCGCTGCAGA